CAACAAATCATGTATATATGTTGATTATTTTGGTATTAAATGCTATTAAAAGTTGTGTTATGTCATTTTTACTAAAAAGATGAAGAAAAAAAATTCAAAAATATACCAGACACAATAATTTCAAAAATTGCATGAATTGTAAAAAGTGAATCGAATTGTGAATCGTGCGATTCACTAGAGATTCACTTCCAAAATAGATTCGTATTGATTTTGCAAAAATTACGAATCATAAGATTCTGATAACAGAGATCCAAACTCCCAAGCATGACTTTATACCACCAACCAAGCATTGAATATGTTGGAACATTTAAAGAAAAAATATAGATCTTAGGATTACTCTAAAGCTAATTTTTTAGTACATAACTTTTAGATAATTCTCACTTTATGGTGTGGTGTGAACCCTTTTGTCAAATTACTCTTTTAAATTCATTTCTAGTGCCCTGAGAGATGCCCTTTTGGACTTCAAAGAGAATAAAGGGAGCATAGCGTATAGATGAAGTTATAAATACCTTCAGATGTCTCGTGGAATGGTCCACTCATGTTATTAGTAGGATGTTGTCCTTAATTTGAACTTTAGTTCATTGTTGCCTTCTGAAAAACAAGATGGCATACGCATCCAGGGGCCTCTGCAGTTTTCAACTGCCCATGTCTGTCATTAATGATTTCCATCCAATTCGTAAGTTGGCAACTTGGCAAACAAATTCTCATAGTTTCCATAATGTAGTTGATGTTCCAAAGCTCATTTGTATTAGCCCTACAATGACATTGTGGCATATGGCCATGAAAAAAAATACAAACAAAAAAGAGAGAGAGGCTAGAATAAGATAGGAATACAAGTGCAACCATACAAAAGGCTAGATTAACATGGGGTGTTGCATAGCACAACAATAAAAATGAGCAAAAAAATTGACAGTGTTCTAATTTCACGAAAAGATAAAGCACATGCACAACACAACAGAATCAGAAGGAAAAACTGTAGTCACCTGCAAACATCATGGCAGTTTTATCAATAATCTATAGCAATGGTGCCAAATCCCAGGTTTTAGGATCTAATATCAAATACCTTCACCGTATTCCTACAATGAATCACCTAGAGTTGTAAAATGGGATACAAATCGTCTTACAGGTAGCAATGCAGATGTGCATCAAGGAGATACAGTGCCTATTTAAATCAATTCAAATTCTGAAACAACATTTCTATATCATTGAAATAAAATGCATGCCGCTCTATTAATAGTGAGCTGAGTCTACTATAAACTAGCCAATGCTTCTGCATCAGACGGCCATTTGTTTGCTTGAAATATGATTAATTAAATACATAGCTTATTTATTTGTATTAGGGTAACTTGATCAGTTTAACTATAATGCATTGCCTTTGACGATATATGAAAAGAAATTAACTGGTAGGATCACCATCAAGGCTTTTTGGTGTGAAGCAAAGTTCCACATCGTCCGAGTACTAAAATAATGTTAAGCATATAAGCGTGAGGGCACTCTCACCTCTAAAGCTAGCTTTGGAGGTTAAGTCCTATTCAAGACCGTGTAACATTTGGAACTACATACAAATTGCCTAGTAGGATAACTATCAAGATTTTTTCCAACTCAGTTAACAGTAACTTGGTCCATTAGCTTTGGAAAGGCTCAATCAACACCCATTCCAATCTAACCCATTTATGTGAACCTTTTGATTCATAAATTAATATGCTATGCTTCCTCAAAGACACCTATGCATGCTTTCCTCAAATTTTCTTTTAACTATTTTCTTCTATCTTCTCTCCTAAGTCCACCAACCACTAGTTTGCCTTCAATCCTACTAGATAAATATTCGTAATGACATAAGTACTACGAATACTTAATCTAGGCTTTTTCCAAAGCCTGATTTAATATGTTCTCCTACGAGAAACAATACCCGTTATTATCTTTAGTATGTATGGAGTATCAAAGGATGTGTCAACTTGTTTAGATCTACCTATTGTTATTATGGGATTATTTTTAATGAACAAGGAACATGAGATTTCCTAGTGGTGTAGAGATAGTGAACATGATACCAATTATAGCATCAATAAAAGAAATTTGTGTCTTTATTCCATAAAATAGATTGTTAAAGGGACATTAATCAATAGAAACAATTTTAAAAAAGATGATGTTTACGGTTACCTAATCAACCAGAAAAATAAAATTTCCTACTGGTGGAGATAAAATTAACCATATCCAATGACCAATCAATTATTTGGCACTAATTATTGTCCTTGTCATGGCATCATCAATTATGTTTGTTAATTTTAGGCCACGTTCGTTTCATGGCATGGGATTAGAGGGGATGATGGCAAATGAATACACCATGGGATTACTGTACTATACTGATTAGGGTAGGATAAAGGAGGAAGTAAGGTTTGAAATTTTTTTTTTGGCTTTTTTTTTTTTTTGGGCAAGTATATTTTTTTGGCTATTAGATGGAGGTTGGCAGATATTCCATAGGTAGTAGGGATCATTTATCCCAAGCTGAAGTGGGATTAGTTATCCCTCATTTTGGAGGAAAATTAATCCAGTATGACTACTAATTCACCCTACTTTGGCCAAGCCAACCAAACAAGGGATTGGAAGGGATTGGGGAACAAGAGGAGAAGACGAGGGAGCAGCTGAGCCCCACACCCTAATCCACCTCCTTATCCCAGCAAACAAACGTGGCCCTACCTGCAATAAGATCGTCGAGATTGTAAACGGACATTATTTAGTGGAACCAAAGGTTGTGAGTCCGAACCTAAGAACAACCACTTTATGCAAATAATACCACAATGTTAGGTCAGTACCCAATCTTTCTCTCCAAGACCTTCATCTAATGGAGGCTATACTGGTGTAACTTTTAAAAGGCAGCTTGGTACAATGGCATGGCTTGCTGTTAGGTAGTGCAGGTTCAAATCTTGGAAACAACCTCTCTAGAAAAGGGAGTAAAGTTGTGTATATTTTGCCCTTCCTAGACCCCGCTTTAGCGGGAGCCTCGTGCACTAGGTCTCGCTTTTTTTACGATGTCAAAGCATGAAAGAGTTGTCTTTATAGGTCAAGAGGCAAGTAACAGCTCATTCACATCCATAGGTCAAATTTTGGATTTGGGAGCTATTCAGGCCCCGTTTGGGAATTTGCTATTTTAGTTGAATTTTTGGCTTTTACGAAAATATGTACAAAAAAGTAAAGAGACTAATGTAACAACTTGTAGTATTTTTTGGCTAAAAACCATGGTCCCCAAATGGGGCCTCAATATCAAAAAATTCAGAACACTGAAAAGTACTGGGTTTGGATTTTAGTGAGCTTACAAAATAGATTTAAGTAAAAAAATGTGAATGCATATTTCCTCAGCTACTCTTATATGTAGATGTTATGGCAAAGGCGAAGATGAGAAAAACTAAAGCAAACCAAATACACAAGCACATGAGGATTTACAGGGTTCAGTAATAAGCCTACGCCCAAGGGCGTAGAATGATGACAGAATTTAACTATGACCGTGGAGATTACAATGAGCCAGCTCTCTCTCTCTCTCTCTCTCTCTCTCTCTCTCACAACCCTCGATTGAAAACTCACAAGATCATCACAAATCCTAGAACCCTGAAATAACCTAATATATACAAGGATTTGAAAATAGCAAACCAAGTCAAAATAGATCCAAATACAAATATTGGGTTGGGCCTATCATTAATAATCCATGCAAGTCATCAACTGCTTATAAGCATCATCCGGGTCGAATTCGAGACACACCCACAAAAATAAAGTTGTTTGTGGGGTGCACCCAATTCCTTAAAATGCAATAAACCTGTACCTGAAGGGGCCTCTTTCATGAAAAAGCTTACATTCATGACAATATGACTGACAGGCAATGAAAGAAGATGACCTGATCACATGTGGCAAGGTCATCGATCCAAGCCAAAAGAAAACATATGGTAGTTAAGTGGCAATACTAAACATTGATGGTAATGCCCAATAACATATTTTCACCAATCAGGAGCAGAAAACGAGGTTATTGCTTATTTGAGTTGGGTTGCTACGTGCAGCTAATATATTGTAATGAAAGCACCACAGAATGCAACACAGCTTAAAGTGTTCAGTTAAGATGTCAGAGTTGGTCAAACCTGAAATATCACCAAATCCAATCAGAGCATGGTCTGTGAAAAACCCAATAATACATAAGTTGGCTGCAAATAGAAACACGTGCAAAACTATTATTGCTGTCATAGTTTAGCTGCAAAGATAAAGAAATTTGTGAGAAGAACTAAAGACTAACACAAATGCAACACTGTGTCAGCTAACAGTACTTTTTAACACTAAAAATTAAAGGGAAAAAAAATAAAAGAAAAAAGAAAAAGAGATGAGGTTCCTTTTAGTTAGAACTTTCCTCTGAAAGGTGGACCTACCATAAAGCACTAGGATTGAACTTTTTGGGTCCCTAATGGAAAAAGATCTTCTTCTTTGTCATATTATCTTTGAATTGATTAGGGTCCAACAAAATATTCTCTAGACTCCATCTGCTCATGTGGGTAGTTCTGATTAGAATACTGAGAATGGAAATTCCATTGTAATGCCATGCAGAAATGCATGTGGATAAACATGTCACATTGGGAAGGCCAATGGCATAACTGTAAGAATTAATGCAAGTGCACTGGCAGATAGAATCGTCTGCTTGTGGGGTCTTGAACCCACTCCCCATTGGCCACATGATTTGGTCTACACAAAATAGCCAACCCAAATCTTGTAACTTTCTCTATGTTTCTCTCTACCTGCCTCAATCTCAGGCACTTTTAGAGGCTTCCAAGACACATATCAAATAGTCACACCACACATTCTGAAAAGAGCACCTTCTCTCACTTCCTCCTCACTGCCAAAGTAATCTAAATCAAGTTCTTTGAAGAAAGATCACAAAAATGAAGGTAACCACAATTTCTGTTGAACTTTGGAAGACAAAAACTGTTTCCAGTATTTTATGACTTCATATTTGCATATCTTGATTGCAGTTACTTGGTTGGATGCATCGCAAGTTAAGGACTAGTGAAGCACTCAAGGATTTTGCCATTGGGGTAAGTCATGTTTCTAATCCGACCTCTATGAGTTGAGTTGGTTCGGCTTTTTCAATATATTGGTTCGGCTCTAGGTCTTAAAATCATCAACCCGACATGAACGGGTTGGGGCGCTGTTTAAGCCACGCTTAAACTGAAGCAATCCAAGATCCGAATCTATATATATTGCATAAAATTCTAATGTTGTTGACATGTCTTTATGTAATTGGTCTATTGCAAATACTAAGGCGGACTTGATTGCACCTGATCATTTCATAAATAAGAGAAACGTAATGTGTAATATAATCTTTCATTTCCTACCTTCATCCACTACACTACTACAAGCTGAGCCGCTGCGGGTGATTTCTCTATTCTTGGCAATCGTCTCCGAACAATATTTTGTAAACAATATTAAATTTTAAAACAGTACTTTGTTGCTCTATGTCTGTGTTACGTTAAAATGTTTAAGATTTGTTTATTCTAATCATTTATTGCTGATTGATTCACTTATTTTAGTATAGTGGAACTACGGTTCCAACCCAAACAAACCCGATGCTAAATCGGGTTGGCTTGGTTTGGTTTTGGTTCCAGTGCATGATTGGTTCTCTCCTGCACCCAAAAACCTGGGACTGATCATGATTGGTTTGGTTCTGAGTTCAAGGCTAACTAGAACCAAAGCAACCCATGTGCACGCCTAATCATATTTATGCCAATGGTAGTCATCTTCACCTTTATCCCAATTATTTAACATTTCTTCAGTCATGGAATTCTTCTAATTGTCTTTCAGAGAAGCCATCACTGGATGAGCAGCAGTACGACATGAAGGCAAACTATGGTACTAAGACCTTAGGCAAATCACAGAGATACAACCATCTTCGAAAATCATTTGCCATAGAAGAAGATGACTTTGAAGAAGAGTCATCAGCTGCGATTTCTCAGCTCTTCCATGGCTTCCTTACCATTGGTACTCTTGGTTCAGATACAGTCATCGCTGACCCATCATCAACACCAACATTCGCCATCTCTGTTGAGAACATAACTAAAAAAGAAACAGAAGTAACAGAGCATGATTTGAAGCTGATTAATGATGAGTTGGAGAAGGTGCTAGATGTTAAAGGTAAAGAAGATGGTTGTAATGACTCATCTGGGAGAAACAGTCATGTTAGCACCATTACACTGAGTGGCAAGACATTGGAAGGCACAGAGACCAGTGGGAACAGAACAACAATGTGTCCACTCCAGGGCTATCTGCTTGGGTCAGCAATTGAGTTGCCAGAAACAAAGAAGGAACATAGAACATCACTTGGGGAGCTGTTTCAGAGGACAAAAATGACAGAGGAAAATTCTGTCGCTAAATGCGAGAGCGGAGAAAAGAAGGCAGACAAGGAAACAAATAAATCTGCTATACGTCTCGTGAAAAGGATACTGAAGAAAAGAATGGTCCATGATTCCTCTCGGACCTCCACCACAGTGACTGGGGGAAATGTTATCTCTGCTTCAATGGAGACGAAACTGCATAAGGTATGTCTACTTCTAGTACTGAATGATAGATCTTCTAGATGGGATATATGGAGCACTGCAACTCCTGACATAGTTTTGTTGGGATCATTGCAACATCATCTGTGATTTGCTTACAAAGAACATACTGTGTAGTGTGATCAAACCAATCAGATGATTTGCACCATCCAATCATTAACATTCCAAGATGGTTCCTCCATTTCTCTGGATACACTTCAAGTCCTAATATGTGCTTATAACTGAATATCTCTAATTCTACGGTACTAGGAACATGAATTGTTCTGATACGAGAAATAGAAATGCGGTATCTAACATGCTCAGTACGATACTGGTTGACTTGTTTTGATCACACTATTAGTATTAAAGGTACTCAAAATGCTATATTACAAGAACTCAGGTACAGTTGTTGGTTTTTGAGCATGTGCTTAAGCTTCATATTTGTCTAATTCCCATGTCCAAGGACATGAGAGCATGGCAAAGTATTGCTAATTTTTAATATCCTCCTTTTATTTTCAGGGTAAAATAGTACTTACAATGTGACATATAGAATTTCATACATAACATAAGAGTTTTATGCATAATTATATGTAAACTCAAATTCCTAAACATATTTTGAATTCTGCGTTCAGTTTTTTAATTTTACAATTTGCTGCACTCAGATCCTCCACATGTTCCACAAGAAAGTCTATCCTGAAAACTCAACTTCTGCATGGAAATCAGATAAGCCCCACAAGAATGAACCAAAGAACAACATCACCTATGAGGAGGGGTACTATGACGGAGATTATACGCACCCAGGGGAAGATATCATAATATTTCCCCATACAACCCTTTCAAAAGAGAGCATACGATGCTTCAAGAGACACTCAAACCCATCACAACTCACAATCAGTGGAAGCAATTCAAATGGGAACAGCGAAAACTGGATCAATACAGATGCAGACTGTAAGTACACATATAGCTACCTTTCCCAAAATCTATTTTATGCTCCAGACTTCATGGTGATTATAATTTGATTATAGAAACTAAATTCTGAGCCCACAGATTGGCATTTACACTATCCCTTGACAAAATCTTGAGCACAATGTCTAATAAAAGGACTTTTTAGCTTACACAATAACGAATTAGCTTATACAATTAATGCAGGACGCAACACAACATTCCTGATGAACGCCTAGGGGGAAACTAAAGGACAAGACCATTAGTCTTTACCTGCTTTGCAGTAAGACAGGTTTCTCCTTCAAATGGCCTTCTTCTTCACAGCAGATCATGCCAACTGCAAATACACTTTTCTGAAATAATAGGTTCCATGAGAAGCATAGATATGTTGTTTGATTAGCATACAAACTCAAATCAAAACTAAATCATATTAAAAAAATGCCATAACAATTTGGGAAGTGCTAGAAGTTGTACCCGAATTTCCATTTTTTATTTTCTTTCAAAACTACCCTCATTTAAAGGCTCTCTCCCACTCCTCACACCAAACAGTGTAAATTCTCCATTTTTTAAGATTGCAAGTGTGTGCGGATAAGAGAGAGGTAGAAATGGAGCAACTATATTACTTGTGAAGCAACTGTAGGGTCAATGGGTTCCTCAAACAGACCAGAAGCAACAAGTGCTGTTGCATGCTTTCTAATGCGATTTTCGAGGAAATTGAACTAGATCATCAAAAAGACAAAGTTAGTACTTTTCACAATAAGTTAAAACATCTGTGCTATGAGATCCATTTAGTACCTTGTCTTCAACCATCGGTGATAACCTCCGGCAACCTCTGATGATCACTTCCGGCAACTTTCGGTGCTCACTACTGTCACTATCTCCTAAGATCTGATGACGACAGGAGAAGAAAAAGAAAAAGAAAAAGAAGAATAATGATAGAGAGAGAGAGAGAGAGAGAGAGAGGATAGAGAGGAAAAGGAAAAAGAAAGGCTTAGTAGAAAATTGTTAGCCTTTGTATTGTAGATCAACATAACCATACCTTTACCATCTGCTCTTTGTTCTCTTTCTAGTGATAAATTTATAACTGATAGATTGACCCATCCAACATATTCACATCTACAATGACAAATCAGTGATAAATTCAGCAACAATATACAACATATTGAACAAATCAATGATAAATTTATTACTGATAGATTAATCATAATACATATTCATCTCTCTCTAGTGACAAAAATAATAAATTTATCACTGACTGTTTGTTAAAAAATTGCAAAAAGAAATTCTCATCATCATCATTACAAATTAACACAAGATTCAAAGACATATTCAGTAATAAATTTCGCAGTGATAAACGCATTTACTGATAAATTTCTCACTAGTTGTTTGTTAAAAGATTACAAAAAAAAAAAAAAAAAACCTCGTCATCATCGTCACAAATCAACACACGATTCAAAGAAATATATCAGTGATACTTTTATCACTAATACAACAGATTTGGTTTAAGAGAAATAAAAAGAGAGGGAGTGAGGAAGAGAAAGTTGATAAATATAAAATGAACAAAAATCAGTGATAAATTTATCA